TTTCAGCCAGTTATGACCGCATCTTGCCTCTTTGCGTTGTTCGTATGTTCGCATCTGTCCAAGTGACATACTTTCGCCATCTAGACTGTCATTGGCATGAAATGGATACAAAGAACGCCAGATCCCTAAAAGAATACAATGAAATAAGGGTAGAAAATGTCAAGGTATCGGCAGTGATGAGATAAATATTTTGAAACAAGAAATGGCATTTTTTTAAAATCTTAACCACAACGTTAAAGTTGCTCAAAAACCTTTTCAGACTTTGGGTTATGTTTTCGCCAAACCTAGGGATCCTGTCACGAAAGAACAACGAACCGACGCCATTTATTCTATTCCTTGCAATGACTGTGACAACGAATACATCGGACAGACCAAACGTCAGTTTGGTACACGTTTGAAAGAGCATCAAAAAGCGGTTTTCTTTTGCAAAAAGAAAATTCAGCTTTATCAGAGCACACATGCCTAAGCAACCACGCAATTGGGTGGGATAATTCTAAAATTATCACCACTAATGGGCGTTACCACCAGCGCCTTTGTTTGGAGGCTTGGCATATTAACTCCGCCCTCGCTCCTTTAAATCGTGACGATGGCGGCTTACTTCCTGGCGCCTTTTTACACCTCGTCAGAAAAAAAAGACAGCTAATTAGTGATCATATAAAAGGACCTCTTGTTGCAGCGTTTAGATCACCCCGGAAGAAGGCACTAGACAGGAGTGTCGAAACGTTGGGTCTATGCATTGTAACTTCTTCGGTTACATTCATTAAATCTGTAAACCAGAGTAGAATCAAACCATGTCTGTAGTGGTCCTTTGTATCATTTTAATTCTTTAACAGTCCAAACTAATCTCTTACCCAGATCCTTCTGTTCAATTGTAATTGACAACCACTTGGCCGCCGAAGGTCTGGGTAAGAGAATTACGCTCTAAAGGAAGAGAATTAGCAACGTCATATTCTAATTGGTTACACCTTTCACTTCCTCAGCTGACTGATATAAGCACTAAATTAACGAGTGGTACCTGAAATTGGCGTCCCTCCTGTCTGTTGATGGTCCGCTGTTCCTTCATTTCTTTGGACAAGTAAATAAATGGTGAATATGACCACGCCAAGAAACAGAATCAGTTTTCTCCGAGTCAAATTTTCATGGTGGAGTATCCTTAATCTCCTCCATTTCCTCATGGTGGCTTGAGATCAATTACAATCAATTATCTACAGAATTTGAGAAGAAAGACAGTTATACAGGAAAATACTTGAGAAGGGAATTTTTAAAGATTAAGGTTGCGGCATTTTTCTGACCCAGTTTCTATAGAGTGAGATAAATCAAAGCAAATAACTCTTGGACTGGTTTGCACTTAGCTTGCACTGCATCTTCAGCTCTCGTTTGAAAATCGACTTCAGACAATTGTGAGTTTTTTTGGCGTCATTACTAGTACTGACTCAGTCGGTAGAAAATTTACTCAAGATTACAATAACCATAAAGTAAAAACCATGAAAGCCTGTGGAAACTAATTGGGCATAATTTTTTTTTCTTTATCCTAGAATAAGGAAAACTTTTTACAACCTCGCACAGTGAGACGAGAGGAATTTTGTAGAGCTCTAACGTGAACGAGAAATGTGAGAACTGGAACGATGTTGAGAATGCAGTTTTTATTCTTTTACTACTTTTCATTTTCCCTGGTATATTTTTTTTGACGAAATGAGTGCAATTAGAAGTATGGAAATGTACTGCTAATTGTATGTATCATTTAGTTTGAGCGTGAAAATGAACATGACTTGTAGCATTTAAAATCAGGTAGTGGAGCTTGTTTGATTTAAAGCTGAAAGAATATTTATATAGTTTCAGTTTTCGTCTGTTGAAACTAAATTGATATGGCCGTTGTTTTGAACACTTTTGAGTCAATAAACCACTGAATTAACAAGATAGCTACCATAACATTTGGCATGGAAGTCGCTTAAATGAAATCTCTGATGCTGTCGCTGAAAACTTTAATAGATTCATATTCTTTACTCTGGACATAATTACAACATAGCCCTTGAATCCATTTGAACTTGTGTTCCTTGGCAATGTATGGGTAGATTACATACTGTGGCGATAGGTTTTTCGCACTAACTCCTAACTGGACTCTTGCGGGGAACGCAACAATAACGGGGGCAAAATAGCTCGGTAGAGACCGACTTGCAGCAGTAACAGAAACTCGTCACGGTTTCTTGGTACACGGAGACTGCTGCTTCAAGCCAACTTGCCACGGTCGTCAAGGATTAGACAGCATTTTGGTTTTGACCTCTAGTGTACTCAACTTCGCAATTGCAAAAAGCTTTATAAATATAACTTAAACTGCGCGACCGCAAAAATGCATAAAATTGTCCAAAAACTAAAATACATAAATTTTCTCCTAACAATATGTATGTATCAATGTCGATGAAAAATTATCTGATTTGAAAGAAAACTTTGAAGCTAACGCAAATGAAAATCCGAGCGGCTAAAATCAACATTGACATTGCATATATTTTCGTTGTAGTTTATGCCGATCAAAACAATTTTCGGATGTATCTCATTTTATTTTCCTACCCAAAATAACCACAAGAGTATACTTTCACCAATGGCTTGATTTACTGATACAAGTGCCTGAAGAGGTTAGAAAAGGTTTAATGATCTTGAAATCAGTAAATTTGAACCATAGAAAACTTTCTGAAAAAGTGAATTTTCGGATTTTCTTTTTGTTGGTTTTCGGGTCATGTTGTGAACGAGACGATGAGCTGCGTTATTTACTAACATAGAATATAAACATACCTTGCTTCGTAATACTTCTATGGCTATATGAAAGTGTACCATGAATCTCATGTTACCTTGTAAGGTACTTTTAAAATTCAACGCATCGAACGTACTTTCCAATCGGGCGATTGCGCTTGTTTTGGTGAGGAAGTTATCCTGAATTTAAAGACTGCGTGATCGTATAAAAATCAACAAAGCAGATGCGAAGCTTGTTCTCATATATTATTTGAGGCAAATGATTTGAATATATATAGGTAATATATATTTTTGCTATAATCTTTAACATAATTAGATGGCAGGAAACTTTTATTTGCAGATTTCAAAGGCCTCCTGAGACTACAAAATCATTTAAAAAGTATTGAAAAATGGTCGACTTAGTTATTTCTGGAAAAATGAAGCTCGTATGAAACTTGATCCAGCTGCGTCATTAAAATACATGTCTGCGGTCCTTTAAGAATATGTAGGATCAAAACCGCTCGGTAGAAGTGATTGGTTACTAACGAAAGCCCATAAATCAAAATGAAAACAGCAGTCTTGTAGTTTATTGGCAGTTTTTTTTTTTGTATTCACACATTATATATGACTGAATAAAAACTTGGGGAGCTTCTGTTGGTGAGTTAGCTTAAGTGATTAGGACTATTGAAGTTGTCTGTGGTCAGGTATAGAAAAACCTTAAAAAAACATATGACAAAGAAATTGTTCCGGTTTCCTTGGCGATGATCCGACACCACCTTTAACGATGGAGTAAAAAATATGTTATACTAGAAAGTGTCAGGATCGTTACCAATGAGAACATTTGAGCAGTCTTAGTCTAAATTTCTGCTGGTTCGAGTTAAGAAAAAGGCGGTGGAAAAAAAATTTTAGCGCGCCGCGTAGGCTTCTGGGAGTAGATGAGGCGTGTATTAGGTAGGGTCCATGAAGGCGGCGCGTTAACATTAATTTTTTTACTGATGTTTTTATGCTCGCGTGACGGAGTTCTCCGAAAAGTGGGGACTGTTCGTAGTCTACATGGCAACTGATGTACAAGCTGAAGAGCCGTGACGTGTACACGCACCACACTAAGGTGTGTCATTAGATTTCTCAAGAGACACTGGGACGTACGTGTACGTCGTGGTATTCTTACTGCGGCTGGACTTGACGGGACTGAGTACAGTACAGATGCGTTATTGACCCAGAGGATGATGACTGGATATTGGCGAGTTCGTTTTTTGCAATTTTATTGACGAAAACGAAGTCGAGGTCCATAAAAATGCATAAAAGGAACGAGGCTAATATCTAGCCATTTTGTTTGGTCAATAAAAGGATTTATTATATTGCAAAAAGATTATGTTTCATTAATAATCAAGAATAACTTGTTTATTTCGAGAGCTGGGAAAAAAAGCCAACTGTGAATGTAGCACAACAAACCCACGAGATTCGTTTATAATTTTTTGTTTTGACTGTTTTCTGCCGCTTTTTGCGTCTCCGTCGCCAACATTGTACAAGGATTACAAAGTTAGTACTAATTCAGTTGTTTTCTTGCGCAAGATCAAAGCGGGCAATCCTGTGCGGGCACAATGGGCCCATCTTGCCCGCTCGGGTAGCCAATCAAAACACAGGATTTGCTTCATATTGCCCACGCGCGCTGCTATGTTTGTGTATTCGTCTGTGTAATGTGAAAAAAAATTCATAGTTTACTATAAAGACGTGATCTCGATACTCTGAGACTGTAAAACTGAAGAAGGAAATATTCGATAAGTTTTATTAGTATCTTCCCACGCTTCTCGAGTTTTTTCCCCATAATTTTACAAAAGAGATAATAAAATTATGCAAAATATCTGGGTCTAGTGTCATGGAATTGGCGATGGATGGGAAAATCAGAAAACAAGCTTTCAAAAACGAAATCTTCTCCTAATTGTGCAAAACCCTTGCTTCTAGGTATGCCTTATCCCTGATGCTCAAGATCATGTATTGAATTATTACGGCATTGTGGTATTTTCCGATCAAACGGCTTTCATATTTTCAATGCGCACGTCCAGCGGACCTACCTTCGCAAACTTTCATTCGCTCTGACGAAGGGCTAGCGCTCGAAACGTCAGCTTTGAAACTATTTGCGGTCGCAAATTTACGTTATCAAGTCAGTTGATAATACCAAATTATCTTGTTAAACTCCTCCACCGACGCGGCACCACGTACTCTTTCCTTAGAGCGAACCAGTTAGTCTGATTAGTTCCCAGTACCTACACGTAAAAGGAACGCCTTGTCGTTTAAATCTTAATGGCGCACGAGATCATTCAGCCAACATTTTCACCACGAAAATATTGTCAAGTTTGACCCAAAAAATCTGGTAAATAGTGAAAGAAAGACTCGGAATGGTAAGTTGATGAATTAATTATAATCTTTAAGCAAGAAAGTTTTTTTCTTTATCGCAGGAAATAGTCGATCGTAATGGCGTGCAAACTTAAGAGTTCCAAAATTTTATTAATTTATGGTTTCCATTCCTCGATCTTTCTAGGGAGATATATTATTTCCTTTTTTTTTTTTTGACCATCAGACATTTTTCCTGCAGAATTTTAATTTCCTTTAATGTATCAAGCTTTCGAACATCAAATATAGAAACGGTGTCATGCGATACGAGATATATTTACTTCTGTCGATCAAATTAATGGCACGGCGATTTTTGCCTTCAGGAGGTTTCTGTAGTTTTCGTTTTCTCGTTGATTCTTTTCTTCCATACCGATAACAACTTTTTTTACCCATTCCACACTAACGAATTTAAAATGATCTGCTGCTTGGAGTTATATATGCTGAGGTTCAAACTTTTTCTTATTTAATTAAATATTTTTTAGACCAGTTTTGATTTTAATTTTCCCATGTTTCAGAGTATGACAATGAACTCATGACAGAGGGAAATGAAACGTCAAGCTGGTTTAAAAAATTGTACCAAAAAATTTATATGCAAACTGCACTTTTTCATGTACTTTGATTTGTATGAAGGTTTCCAAGGACAAAACTTTTGACCTGAATCACCATAACATGGGATTATTTGATATTTTGAATTTTATCATTATTATCAATTTTGATAAAATCTTAGCTGCCTGGAGGCAATTACCTCAACCACTACCTCAAAATCTTCATTTACAGCCCGTGTAAAGATCCCTTTTTCACAATGATGTATTTTTGGCATAAACATAAATGCTTTTGAATCCACTCTATTTAAGCAAAAAGGTGTAAAACAAAATTGGTCTATATCCAGTCATTTTGACTTGATATTGAGTAAATCTGAAATGCCTCACAAGCTAAAAAAACAGGATCAGATCATGTGTTGGCACTAGCTGTACTAGAAGGCGACATTGACCTATCTTGCTTGCTGAAGCTATCCCATTTTGTTGCCATGCTATATGTCCTGATAAAGAAGAGTGGAGCAATTCTGGTATATTATGTAACTTGGTGGCATTCATTCCTTTCATCTTATTATTTTGGAGGTTAAGGTTCATTATGAGAGTATTAGTATGATCATCTTACCAACACTTATTTACTATTAGCTTTTGCCCCAAGAATGGTAAATAATTAACTTGATGGCTGTAAAAAAATGAGCTTGTATTCCTACAACCTTTCAGCACAATCCATTTTATGTTTGGCCAAACAAATCAAGTTGCTTGTCATTTTTGTTTAATCAGTTTCTCATATCTCAAGATTTTATGACAGATAGTAAAACATTGGTTTACCCAATGCTTTTACGAGTTTGAATATAGAAATATGTGGTTTTAGGTTTTACCAACTTTAAATAATTTATGGGTGACATATCATAAATTATTTTCTCTTTAGAAAATGTTCCAGTCATTTTGAAAATTTCAACAATAAAATAAGAACTCATGGTTTTATCCACAACAGGTTTTTAGTTTTGAATTTCAGAGTACGTGGACAAAAACAGTTATTTTGCAAACTATTCATAAAATCTGAGTTGGGAATAGATAAAATTGTTTGCAAATTTTTGGGCACGAATCTAACTCTAAAGGAGATAATATTCTCAAATGAACTCTATCTGTCTTAGAAATACCTTTTTAATTTGTAAAATTCTGAAATATCTAAAGTATGTAATGTTGCAAATATATATAATATGCAATGAGAGGTGCTACTAACTGGTTGAAAAATCAGAGAGAATTATACGTACCTCCTGAAGTCTGAAGTCTCTGATGACCAATACTACATGATTCCATACTTCTCACTCCCAGAGAGTATGTTTCAGTTTGAAACTTTTCCAAGATATCTTTGGATTTATAACCATGGTCGTCATGTAAACTGGATGTGAATGATGATTAAGTTTATGAATTAATTATGGACTAATTTGTTTATAAGTGGAACTACCAGTTATGGCTTTTAGCAATCAGTGCATTTGTTTTCTAGAGTAGTCCAGACTTTTCTATATGTAATGTTCAGCTTCAGTTTCTTTCTGTAGGTTATTATTTGAATAGTGTCTATGAAGATATCTGGGATTCTGAAACAATACATTAACATTACTATTACTATTGCTGGATTATGATAAAATGTGACCTTCCAAATCTCAAAAAAAAAAAAAAATGACATTTAGCAAGACAAAGAACTATATCCTTGCAAAACATTTCTAGAAAGTGTTATCGATGTGCATGAATATTGGGCCTGGAAATCTGATCCCATTCTATAGGCATAATATGATGTTGCTTTTTGTGTTGCAGGCATTGTTTGGGGTTCAATTTGTGTTGAGTGTTGTTATGGCAACCTTGTTGCAGAAGTTTTCTCCATTTATTTCCCTTGGACGTTGGATTCTTTGCAATAATCAGTAAGCCATGCAAATTGTTTATAGCACTGACTCTTTTATAAATCCAGAAATTCATACAGGGTAGGTCCACAGGTAAATTTACTGTTGAAAGCTATAAAATATGTGCCCTTTCTGACATCCAATAAACAGTTGAGTGTATTTATTTGAGTTATTGTGTTTGCCGTCCTTCTACATCTATGCTATTAAGATGACAGTGCAATTTTATTCACTCAAAATATTTGACAGTGCACTCAGGGTTCACACAGGTCCTGGAAAATCTGAAAAGTCCTGTAATTTTTGAAATTTTCCAGAACTTTCCAGTTCTGGAAAAAGAATACAGGTCCTGGAAAGTCCTTGAAATTTGTTTAACTTAAGCAATAGAGTTTTTAGAATTTATGTTGAAGAAATGTATGTAGACTGTAAGTAGAATTGATTTTGAAATCTTGGGAATGAAAGGGTTTATGGTGGAATTTGGTGTCATGGAAAATTAGTCCAAGTCCTGGAAAAGTCCCTGAAAAAGAATACAAACCCTTTCTACTGAATAAGCCAAAAGTAAATTACACCTGTAGAATGTGTCTGTACTTCTAAGACTAAAATTTCCTCTTCAGAATTGTTTTTATTGAGATTAGTCTCAATCATTACTAACATTCTTGAATGTTTCTTCAAATAAAAGTTGTAATTTAAGAAACCATTGGTATACAATGCAACAATCAACAAAGAACTGTGCCTGGGTTCTCACCCATTAGGAGGTAATTTCCTAATTGTGATATTATCTTCTCACCATCTTTACTGATAGCCTTGTTCGATATCTCCATCCAACTGATGATGAACTTAAGGGATTGATTGGAAAAAACTCTGTTGCTACAGGCAAGAATAAAGGAAAAAAAGCAGCACCAACAGATACAAGGTATGTGAAGTTGTTCATAACAGTTATTACAATGTAAACTTAACTTCCCCATCCATAAGTCCTTTACACTGCAATATCTGTATGTATATTCTCTATAGTGTTCTCCATGCAAGAGCTGACAAGGAAATTTGATAATTTATTTATTTTTGTAATCTTGATGTGGGTTTCAAGGGTGATATTGTGAGGAGAAACTTGATGCTAGTCATGTTTAGGGGTTAAAATATTAATTTATTTTCAAAAGTTTAAATGCAGAACTTGTTAAATAAGAATAAGATTCATATGGGTAGAATTTTGCACGGCAATATACGAGCAATTCATGTGGAATTTCTGGGTGTGACAAATAACCGATTGGACCTTGAAATTCATTTGAACACCCATTAAGAGTGATCAAGATAAATTCTACAATTCTCCTTTCATTTTTGTATTCTTTCACATGGACAGGTTTTGAGAATTAAGAAAATTAACACCAAAGGGATATTATTTTGATACAACACCATACTTAATGATCTAGTAACAACTGAAATAGCGAGGTATGAAATGTATGAGCCCTGGTTGACAGGATGAGCTTTACATTTTAGGCCCTAAAGGGAAAATGATTTTAAATTCAATGAAATCTTCATCAGAAAGCTTAATAAGTTTTGCTCATTACTGATATAATCACTGTCAATATGTTTTTGTCTTTTCTGGACGTTGCATGACTTAACGTATGCTGTTTTTTTTTCTTCTACGTATTCCATGTGGTGTAGAAAACGGCAGAGTAATGCAGCAGCTGTTGGGAGTAACAACGACGAGGTCAAGACTTTTACTGTCCCGTGCAACATTGATGTCCATCTAGACAAGGCTACGGTGCGTTTAAAACTAATTCTCTGTTCTTATAGCCACGGCTAAAATGAGTGAGAAGACTGCTATGAGATTTCACTGCCACTTGAGACTACCCTGGTACAGTACCATGCCGCTTACATGCCTTCTACAACTCAGAATATACAAGTAAATAAGTAAATACTAGCTAGCTTTGAGCAAAACTATGTGAGTTGCTAGGGGTCGGGGGAGGGGTGGGGGGATTACACCATGGACTACCATTCGCCCTACCGGTTCAAAACTAATACTCGCCTCATGCTCTAACTGACATGCTCTTCTCTTTGTACATGGCATTTAGAAGGAGAGGCAAGGAACATCTTTGATAAAGACAAATTTTTGATTCATTCTTTTTGACATTTTGTTTGCAGATTGAAGAGATTGACTTGTTGCCTCAGTTTCTTTACACAGACTACAAATGGATGGTCGATTTCTCCTTCTGTGCGGCTGTGATAAACGTCCTTGTTGAAATCTTTGCTTTCTTTCTTCCTGAAATCTATACTCAGGAACTTAATTTGGCGCTTGTATGGAACTGTCTCGTCATCTTTTTTGCTCTGTATCCTTTGTGTTAAGATTGTGCTTAATTGAAAGTCGTTAGTTCAACAGCCACTGTTACTTTGTCAACGTTTCAAACCAGAATGTGTTTTTCGAGTCCCAGTGTTTTTCTAGGTTAAGCTTTTCTTTTTAAGTTTTTTTGATAGAGAAGGTTTGAACATAGACAGACAAGTTGACAAAAAATGTTACTATTGATACTGAGCCGTCTGGAATTGGCTTTAACAACATTACGAGTGATTGGAGAATCAAAAGCATAAATGAGGATTTTCAGGCTTGTTTTACAGTCCGCAAACTGCTTGTAAAGAACGTGTGAGGGTACTGGAGAGAAAATTGCTAAATGAAACAAGTTACCAGAAAAAACGCGACCGTTATCCATCCTTTAGATCTCACTTTAGCATCGTAATCCTTTGTCCCCTACAAGTGACCAGCATTTTCAAAATTTCTCCTCGCATTATTATCCTTGAATCAAGCATTAAGGCCGTGAGAATTAAGGGAATGGTCACCATTTAAAGACGCTCTTGATTGTTAATTAAATTCTCCTTGTCAGCACCTTAAGAAATGTGTAGATAACTGTATGGAGAATGTACATACTGATGTTAGGGTTTGAAGGGTTAAACGGTTCATGCTTCTTAACCGAAATTCAGTAAGGTGTTGTTTTCCTTGGCCGCAGCTTATTGGAGGGGGGATGACACAGGCGAGCGATCCATGTGCCTCACTTTCGGTTTGTTCTTTTTTGTGGTTGCTATGGCTGTTCTTGTGATCGACGAGTCTCTTCTGGACTTCGGACTTGACAAAGGTTAGTTAGTCTGAAAGAAGGCTTTCATAAGCCCGGCAAAACGAGTAGCAAAGCCTCGCCAGCTTTGCCGCACGAGCTACAGCGCTAACGCAATAAAACAAAACTGTGGAAACTGTAGAAACCAATAAAGGTGCTAATGACAAACAAACGTTCGTGTAGCTGACGGTACGTTGGGCAAAATACAGTAATTTAATTGGAGAGAGTAAGATTTCAGTTCATTATACTACAGGTTACGAGACGTTTTCAGAAAAAGCGACCGAGTTTATGGAGAAACAAGGGCTGTCTTCCAGGTAGGTTGTTAATGTTACAGTTACTAAAAGTTGTTGCCCAGCGAAAGTTTCGTATCTTTTAATTCCATTCCATTTGCCAAAGCCTTTACACTTAAATTTGTGTACCCTTCAAATTATGGGTGGTCGAGAACACCCGAATTTTCTTCCAACGCCAGCATTTATTGTCCTTTTCTATAAGTACAAAGATATTTACCATTTGGGTGTTTGAGAACTTTATCGAGGATGCTTCTTCTGAACTGCAGCTAAGGGAGCTTAGCTCCTTGATACTAGTGCAATAACTTCCGATCGACTAGTGTGTCATCCAGGTCAATAGCTATACTTGTGGCCATCTTCATAAAAACCGCGGTAGTGCGAATCAATCTTCCATGCAAACTTATGAAGGCAGTATGTTTATTTTTATGCTAACAGAGGTCCCGCCCCAAAGTGGATGTTTAAACTGTTCCTGGCCGTAGCTTCAGCCATCCTTGGTGCATTTCTTAGTTTTCCTGGCATGCGTTTGGCCAATATGTATCTGGATTCACTGTTCTACTGCAGGGAGACACGTATTATGTTGTAAGTCAACCTGTTATTCATTACACGTTTAGTGCTTAAGACGACACAAATCGAAACCAGCAGCAGGAGCAATCTTCTCGACCTTTCGATCGAAGAAAATGCGTCCAACCGTGTTTTGTTAGTTAAAGTTGTTTGCTAATGCTTGTAAAATCACTTTGTTGTACGCGCATTGCGACCCAGTCATGGCCCAGCTTCCGAAGTAGTTCTCCGTGGCTCATTGCCAAAGCATCGGATGGCGAAATGTAAAGGTTTGGATTCGAATTCACGCTCGTGACACGACTAGTAACTGTCCTTTTTATGGCGACGTCGTTTAACACCGCCGGATCTTTTTTAATTGAATTTTTCGTAGGGTTCTTCTCCATGTCAACTTCCTGGCTCCTATGTTCCTTATTTTCCTGTGGGTGACGCCCATCTTGCAAGGACCTTTGGTAACAGGCTCGTGGCATGACGACATCGACGACAAGAATGCTAAACCAGTGTAAGTGAAGTGTTAGTAATTCCTCTCCATGTTCACTTGAAAAGAACATGGCTGCGGTGATGAAGGTATTATCCGAGGTTGATACTGATAAACAATTACTCTTTTATCCATATTGAGATAATCCTCGAATAGGTTAGAGAGTTTATCGTCAGGGTTCTTTCCCTCAACATTTGCTTCATTTTGTATACTCTTAGGTTTGAGTTTTATTAGCAATTTTAAGACTGTGGTGATTGGGACTAATCCTGAAAAATTGATCAGTGCGTAATATTTGGCTAGAATTGTTAACAGTCGAGTTTCCAGAAGAATAATCTCCTTCGCAGCCTTTCTTTGGGATGTCACGCAACGTGCTTCTTCCTTATCTAAGTCCTTTCGAACGGGGACTCAGAAATTTTCCTCTGTCCCACGCTCGTGACAAGACGAAAAGAAGATCCGTCTTTGCTCTCATGAAATGTTGGAAAAGATAGCAGGGAGTTTAAGCGTGACTTCAATGACAACCATAGCCGGCTCTAATTTTAATTTTCTTTCCTATGATTCTTAAATCGACCCTGTATAAATTTCCAGAAAGAAAATACTTCCCTGTGTACGGTGCGTCATACTTAAGCTCTGTAATGACTAATTAAGTTGCCGTCTGGTCTCAAAATTTCCCGATCAGGTCTCATTAACTCACGCTGATTTTTGTATCTTTATCTGAATTATTTCATTTCAGATTGACAGAAAAGGGTTACTACAACCTTCGTTACATCCTGCTGTTGCTGTTCTGCGTCTTGCGGTTGAGTTTGGTTTGGCGACATCTCCAGTCCTATCTTGATATGGCACACGAAAGGATTGAAAAGATGAAGAAAGAAACTGGACGAATCACTAACGTGGAGCTGCAGCGAAAGGTAACAGAATCTTCAACCCTTTCATTCCCAAGATCTCATTAGTAAGTCTCCTTACTGTCTGCAATGCAATTCTTGTCATGTTAGTTCGGAGAATTTGTATTTGGTCAACTAATAATCCCATAATTGATATTTTTCTTCACTCTCATCACTTGTCTGGTTGATACTTTATTGATATTGTAAGAAAGTATTTTTTCTTGGTCATTCACGCGAGCGATAAGGTTCTTTTGGGTTTGGAAAGAGTCTTTTGTCGGTGACAGTGACTGACGTTTCGATAACCAGGGCAGAAGGTATCGTTGGAATCAGTTGAAAAGTTAAATTCGATCAAATTTTACAACTCTGCCTCCTAGAAATTGGTTGTTCAGTCTTGCACCTGAAGTTGTTGGCTCTGGTTGTGTTTTTGAGTAGTGATTAATCAGTTTTTTACTGTTAGGTTAGATCGTTCAGTATGATTCTTTGTTTATTTTGCTGCAGTGAATATTTCTTTTTTAGAATATTGTAAAATTTTGTCTTTTCTTTTTCACAGGTTGCGCGCGTGTTCTACTATCTGTCTGCCGCTGCCCTTCAATATCTGGCGCCGACTCTTCTTCTTCTCTTTTCCGTTCTTATGCTACGAACTCTCGGTGAGTTGAAGGTTGAAGAAAACAGACTGTAAAATATTAGTAGTATATTAGTAACATTGAAAAGCAGAGGCGTGCTTTTTTATTTCGCCCATTTCACCCTAACATCAGAAGTGATATTCTCCACATTGGTCTCTCTTCAAATCCTGTTGTAGGAACAAGGAGAATTTGTTTGATTATTATGAGGTTCATAGCTGGATTGGTGATCATTTCTTTTTTTCTCATGACCTTTACATTTGATTCAAGGTTGACACTGTACGGAGAAATTAGATGACAGTCACACTTAGAGGTTAAAGAGTTAACGTAAGATGACTTAGGCTCATAAACAATTTATCCTGGGTTATCTCCTTGCAGGTTGTTCTGACTGGAACAGTAATCCTGTGGGTGCCTCCCGAATTCAGTATTCATCTTTTATATCAAACAGTACCAGAGAAGCAGCGCTAAATCTGCGGGCAGTCCTCACACCTGCTCTGTTCCAGGGGATCATGTCGTACATGGTTTGGTGGTTGTGCACCTCATGGCTCATTACTACAGTTTTCGGAGTTGTCTATCTAAAGATTTTTGAGGCAAGTTGATCAAGGTCTTCCGTGATCACGAAAAATGGCGGAAATTCTCAGAGAGTGAGCTGCATCGTGGAGAAATGGGACGAGAACGAGGCTGAGGTTGACATGTTATGGAAATGACAAGTTTTCCTTATTTGGTGCCGTGTACGGAGTCACTTCCGCAGATCACGAGAGAATAGGGGAACTTATTATAATTAATAAACCTTTACGTTCCTCTTCTGTTTCTGAGGACTCGTGGAAACTTTCCCATGTCCTGTCATTCTTGACATAAGAAATGAATCAATTAATCAGAGTTTGGTTGTTTGTTTGGAGTGCTCAGACAAACTTATATGTGTAGATGCGTGCAAATTGCGTTTTTTTTTTTCTAGCTGATTTGGAATGGACTTTGTTGTGGGTAATGAACGCCGGTGGACTCGCAATTTTAACGGAAAAGTAACGCCACAAATGTTCCAAACCAAAGTTTCTCCTTTTTTTTTGCGCCTGTCGGCCCGGTGAGACGTACTCCTGGTTGAAAAGTATAATGCTTATAAATGTGTTGCCGAGAGAAGTAAACATGTCAGTAAATTGAGCAGACACATCTGGTACTTTCATTTCCTTGTACTCCTACTATTCTCCTTCCTCCCTATTACAAAAACAAAGCTAACTGATAGCTGAGGCTCTCTACGAAGCCAAACTTTCGACGTGGGATACTGGGATCTTTCTAATTCAAGTGGAAAAGCGTTTTGTCCCTTCAAACGCTGCTGTTTGGCTCAAGTGTTGAACGTTTGAAGTCCACAACCTAAATTGAATTGCAGTAGTTATCTGTTCTGTAAATCGATTATTTCGCGTCAAATGTAGCCTTCTTTCTATCACGGTCATGTCGCCAAAACGCAAAGTCCAACGCAAAACAGAAAAGTGGATAAGGTAACGAGAAGGTTTCCATTGGAAAGAACTGCATATAACTAGTTGCGCGCGCTACTGTTCCTCATTGTTCACGCAAGAGGCGCGTCCTACCCAAAATTCTTGCATCGAAATGTAAAGATTTGGAAAAAGGCTAGTTTAAGAAAGTGAGCCTGGTAAAGAAACTGAGGACAACTATTGACTCGCCAAACAATGAGCAGCCAATTTCTCCAACGACCGAAATGTCAAAAAATGACAGGCCGCAAAGGTCAGGAGTTTCTCCCAGCCGATTTAGCTGCTGCATATGCGAGTTATCATGATAATTTGACAGAGCAAAGAAAGCTGGAATGGAAGTTACATGTAATTGAAATTGAGACAAAACTTATGAAGCGTGACTACCGAATGCAAAAAGGAATACTTGAAAGAGAGCTAAAAAAAAACGAGAACGATTTCTGGAAGTGTCATCGGGTATTCTCCGCTGTAAGCTTATTAACTGACTCTGATTCCTTTAAGAAGGACTTGTACATCGGACCCAAGCCAACTAAAGCAAAACTTCCTCGTAAAACTCTTAAGAGATTAAGTCACCTGGTGCGGAGCTTACAAGCCGAGGAAGAAATGGAAATTCATTCAAGATTTGAGCGGTGTGCTCGATATGCACGAAGAGAAGAGCTTCTTGGTCCAGTCCCAAGTTTGATCTTGAGTGACGAGGTAAGCTCTGATTCATTGCAGCTGCGAGATCTGGTGGAGATCCGCAGCGAACATTCAGCAAACAGCCGGAATAACTCGGGAAGAATAAATAGAATTCGCTCAGCACCATCAAGAGTCGAGTCTAGAAAAGCAGTAGGGGAAGAATTCGGTCGTGAAAGTCCACTGAGCAATATTTCATTGAAAAGCTCATTGACAGAGAAACCAGTTGAGACCTTTAAATCCGTCACAAAACTTGATGACATTAGCAGTATAAGCCAATGTGAATATAGAGTGGAACCATCTATAAGGCTTGCTTGGGTGGAGAAAGAACAAGAACAGGAGATGCAGAAAGAAGTGATCAACAGTACGTCTAATGAAGGAGTAGCTGTACAACCATGTGTCCATTTCGATGATTCGGGGGAAAGTTCAAGGGGGCAACCACATACTTTGGAAAGTAGCATTGAACAGTCCGCTGACTTTAATTTGCCTGTTCATGTGACCTCATCTCACCATCGAATAACAGCTGAGAGCTTAGGAAAGGATCTACCGGAATCGAATCTCGAAGAATTTCAGCCAAAGGAAGCCGAGTTTGAAAAAGAAAATGTTTGGGACGCTGAATTTTTTCTGAGTGATCAAACTCACCAAGTGACCTCTCCAGCGGAAGAACGTCGGAAGGTAATTTCGTTTGATGCCATGAGTACAAAAGGTGAAGGTGAATCCGCATCCGCTGTAGGAACATCGTTGATCAAAATCGCCCAAGAATACTGCAGGGAGCTTCCAACACCTACTTCAAATGACTTATCTAAAAATAAATTGTCTCTGAAACCGGCGCCAGTTAAGAAACACGCGTCGAAACGAGGCAATGAATCTCAATCTAGTAATTATAAACGCGAACAGTTTCAGCGTGGAGATGTTAAAATTCCAGATCGGGCCCCATCTTTACGTAATAAGAACGTTTTGAAAACAAAGGTTTTCGAGTATTGCGCTCACGATAAAGCAAAGAGTAAAAGTAACGCTAAAATGACAAAAGCTTTGCCGAAAAGTAGCTTACAAGGGCTGTCAAGCCATCCGAAAACACTCACACCTAGAACTCAGAGAAAACCAACAGAAAAGAGCCCGCCTGCAACGAATGAAACACCAAAGGGAAGGCAGGTGCAAAACAACTCAAACAGAAGAAGTGCTACAGGCAGAAAGTCACCAGAAAATGTCACAGAAATTAACAAAAAAATTGGGGAGGACGAGACACAATTAATCAAACACGCCCAGAAAAAAAAGAAGTGTCTCATATTCAAACGCAAGTGTCTGTCTGAACTTCTGTACAGTGGACAAATTCAGGTCGAGAGCCAACTAAGGAATAGAGTCCAAGGCTTCCTCAGTAACAAGGACGGAGTGGATGACTCTAGCGGAGGGACTGGAAAAGAGACATTCACGCATGTCGACATTGATGCTGTATGAGTTCGAACCAGAATTTAATATAGCGATTAATGACGCGCGGAATCTTACATGTCTGTAAAACGTTTATATGTAATAAAATAATAGCTTTATAATACCCAGTGTTCGTTAAACGGATCAATAAAGTGATTGAATGAGGTAATTTGCGGCCTCTCGTAACCAAAGTCGTATTCGCAAAAATCCCTAAATCTCATGCATCATCCCACACCATGTCTACATGTTTGGTACAATGTATAAAACTCATTTCAATAAAAGTAATTCGCCGATGCACTCTTTCTTTTCTTACCGGAGAGAGTTTTTTTTATACCTCTGGGTAAGAAAACCCCTTTATTTTGGCTTAACTTAGTGTATGTCACCCAACAGGGTGGAGATTTTTGGGTCACGCGTCTTAAATGAGTATACATCTATACTTTTTAGCTTCTCGAGTTCTAAAGTTGTGAAAAATGGAAAAAGCCGATATGAACGAACATGTGCTCATGATTCCAAAACACTTGCTTTAAAACTAGTCAAGTTGTTTTGGATTGATTCGCAAAATTTCATTTATTTTTCAATCAACGGTCACATGTTTAAAGAAGTGTGACTTGACGTGACAGTTACCGTGACATCGAGAACTTCAGAAAGACCAATAAGAGTTGTCGATCAGTCGTACGAAAAAAATTGGCAACAAATCCCAGAGGGACTTGCAGGGAATTCAAGATGGCTGACTTACAGGAGTGGTAGTGTTTTCCAAATTTATCGATATATTTTGCACAAAAGATGGGTGAAGGGATTGCTGATTGCTTACCACTGGCACTACGATCTGTTGGGGATGCCATCAAGCTTGACTCAGACAACAGGATTAAGGTTTGAGTTTTAACCAAGCTCGCGAAAGAAATTCAAAATCACTTACCCGGATCAAAACACTTTTGAATAGCCCCCAGTTTGGAGTACTGAGATGCAGGTTAAATTTGATTCAGCTCTGCCTTTTTCTAACAGATATCTACGCAAATGCTCGGTATTTTTTTGAGCGTTATTTTTGTTATACCCGGAAGGTCATCATCTATATTGCCACGGTCTTTCGACGGTGACGTCATTGCAAACAAGGGATAACAATACGGTGGCAATAAAGTCATATCGAGCTTCTCTGGGATGAGCAGAGTGATTTGGAATACAGAGGGATGAGGGAAATCCCAGGGTATATTTATTAAAAGCCGTTAACATTTGGAAGGCCTGTTAAAAAATCAGTACCCCATTTGGTGGGTTGGTTTTTGTCAGCACCCTGTAACTGTCCACATTTCATCAGCTTCTCCAAAAAATAAAAATATATATATTTATTCCAAACCTCTTCTATCAAAAACCAGTCATCGTTGGGCAGGGGTTATAGCGCAGATTTAAAAAAAATATATATAACAATATTGGAAAGGCTAACCGTAATTCTACTCCAATTGCAGCCTGTGATAACTCCCTAAGAATGGGAATGTAATCCAAAGTTTGTCTTTACCCTTTAAATCCCAAGGTCTCATTAGTAATTCTCCTTACTGACTGCCTAATGATTCTCATTATGTAAGTTTGGAGAATTTGGTATTGGATCAATTAGTAATCCCATAATTGATATTTTTCTTTATTCCCATCACTTGTCTGCATGATATTGTATAGATATAGTAAGGAGAAATTCTGTCTTGGTCATGCATGGGAGTTAAAGGGTTAAGATATCCAAGGTGCAAGATCACAAAACTTAATAAATTACTTTTGATTAATTTAGAGCCACTAATATAAGTTTGTTGTATGTTGCGCGGTATGATATGCATTTATCACATGTTACAGTCATCCACATAAATCCTTTAACATCAAGGGCATGAAGATTTTGTTGGCAGATGTATATTCAATACTTCTAAAATGATTTTATACTGCATTCATTTTTAAACCAGGAGGCATACTGTCAGTATCTCAGTTGCATCATCTATATATCACAAGTTCTTAAGGATGATGCTTGGGACAAAGGTATATCCTAAGTCTCTATTTTACTTAACATCTAAGTGACAAATGATGATTTTAGATATATGAAAATTCATATATTTGCACTGCGGTGAAACGAGTAGTTGTAAATTGGACCTGAAAATAATGCGATACCGGTGCAGCGCTCTACCAATTGAGCTAACAAGCCAACTGGGAGCTGGTCAATGAATTGGGTACAAATTTACAACTACTCGTTTCAGTAGTGTTCTTAGCTGCGAGGATCCCTTAATTTCATCTAAGTGACAAGTTAAAAAAAAGATCTGCACTCTACTCTCACAGTTACAATTTTCTAAATAAAATCAATTCTGGAGAAAAAGAAGTTAAAGTTAATTTCTGTACTTGCCACAAAGATAATAGTGTTTTCCATTAAGGATTTTCAATGACCGTTTATGGGTCTGGAGGAAGTTCAATGACTGTTTATAAGTCTGGAGGGAGAGGAGAGTAATCAATGAATATTTGGCTGTAATGACTGTTAACAGATCTTTGCATGTTGAGGTCATTAATGCTCTAGAAATCTTGAAAAGTTTTCTTCCAGTTTATTCACCCAAAGAAAAAACTACACTTTAGGATTAAGGTGGAGAAGGAGAGGCAAAATTTGCCACCAGCTAGGAAAAGATAAGTTAACAAAATATTCTACCACCAACTGAAAAACATATTGACTTAAAGATTTTATTTAATATTTACATCCATTGTGCCTCTGAATTACTGTAGACCTCCAATTGGTGTACAACAGGGACTCAGCCAAGTTATTCCGTATGCTTCAGCAATGTCAGGAGAGAGCTCTGACAATAATATCTTCTTTGGGTAAGATTACAATCTTGTTAGCAATTTTGAAGACTCAGTGCAAAAAAACCAAGCATAGTTTAGATATGGTACAATTGTGGCTTTCTTAGATGTCTTGAACTAAAGAGGAATATTTTTCGAGAATAATTCTGAAAATAAATGTCATCACTCATCACTTGATGCTTGTCATTCCTTTAGCAAATAATACTTCAACAAGTCAAACACCCCCTACTAATCAAATACCTCAGCATCTTCACCCTTCATCTGAAGGTGTGCCACATCGCTATTCTGACAGTCAGGTTCCAATTCCTGGCCAATCACCTCAGCATCAACTGGCACCACAAGATGTGACTATTCGTAAGCTGTCTGACACAAATTCTCCTGCAGCAACTTTGGCAAAACCCACAGCTGATGGACACCTTTATCTACCATCACCCCCTGGATCTCCATTACCTCGTCATCGTCGGTGGGTACTCAATATTTGAAACTGATTTTCAGTCTTAATTCCAGAAACATTTTCTAGAGAACTGTAGTTTTAATTGTTATTAGTTTCAAGTTAAGTACAAAAGAAATAATTTTCATTGATTCTCCAAACACTCAGCCAAGTGATCATGACAAATAATTTGGTTGTTCCATTTTACCTTCTGACCAAATAAAAGATGAAACTGGTCTGGGTAGAAGTAGTGGAAAGGTGTAACAGTCTTGTCTTCACTCGAGATTTTTCTTGTTGTTCAGTAATTGAAAATTGCTGGCTTTTATTTTGTGGCAAAAAGAATAGGGAGAGTGACATCAGTCTATTGTTTGATAAATGATAACCATATCAACCTTCATTTCGGTAAATTGGGCCACTCAATATTATGTACGAAAGTAAGAAAGCTTCATAGAAACAGTTGCCGTTCACTACAATTGTACACTGTACATGTTTGATTTATGATTCTCTTATCCCTAGAACTGGTAGCAATGATCCTATGGAGAAAGCTTACACGGAAAATAAACAGTTAATACAAGCATACAGGACAAGAATGCAGAATGCAAACAAGGGGGGAACAAACAAGGATATGATTTCCCGTGTATGATAACTTCAATAATTATAAAATGTCATAAATCCCATTCTAAAATGGTTACAATTTGTCATTTTCCTGCATTTCTATTAAAATGTTCTCCTGGCCTTGATCTCATCTGCTAAATTCTATTAGCAGATGACTACTTAGCAAGCCAGTAAAGCATTCTGGGCTCCCAAAGTGGTGTTGACCCTTGGACTCCTAAGAGTCAATATCACCCCCTGAATCACACATTGTGGTCATGAGAATAAAGGAAATGATCACCAACTATATACTGAAGCTCTTGATTGTTAAACAAATTCTCCTCATTACCTTAGGAGTTGTGTACAGAACAGTATGAAGAATATACATACTGATGTTGGGGTGTAAAGGGTGAATGTTATGTTATCATGTGGCACTCTGATTGAAAATTTATTGTTGGGATGATGTGACCCTCTACTGAAGTGTGAATATTCTTGAATGCACATCACCCAGGCTTTCAAAAGACCTATATTAGTATTTTTGAAATCTATATTAATTTCTCTATGAAGTTTGGTATTCAAGCTTCAGCAGGTACTCCTTGATAGCATGCAAAATAATATTTTTAGTAATTGTTTGATATTGGATTCTAGACCACAATTCTACGAAGCTTACAGGGGTAATGAGACTGCAGTTCTCATGTACTTTTTTACTGTTTTGCAGAATCTCAGTTTAATGCGAAGGATGTCAGAAAACCTTGCCATTGAAAAGGCCAGGGAGCAAGCTGTATCCTTTGTCCATTTTTAATTTTATCTGTACTTTTTGTGGCAAAATCAAAGTCATTTATTGATAGCACATAATGAAATATGCACTTTACCATCGATAATGCTGTAATTTTAATGTAACATATAACTTTAACTTCAAGATAAGATAAAGCAAAAATTGTTGGAGCGACAACGAAGATTGCAAGAGGAAACAAACAGGTGAGAAAGTGATGAACAGGTATCCTTTCGTATGAGTGATTATCATCTAATTTCTCCTAACAATATCCCCACTGAATCAAACATTTAGGTCATGAGAATAAAAAAAATTATTGCCAGCTTCAGTAGTTCTTGATCGTTAAACATTTTCTCCTATTCATATCATATAAAACTCACAGATAACAGTGTGGAGAATGTGCAAACTGACCTTCGGTTGCAAAGGGTTAATGCCTTCTTCAGTAACAGCCTGATTGTGTTCGTCATGTAATTAAGTCATTGATGTGTTACAGACGTCTTGGCCCTGCAGTGTATTCTACCAAGGAACAGCAAGAACAGCGTATTATTTACACAAAGATTTTGGAGTTTGAACAAGAGACCGTAAGTTGGAAAGCATGTATCACCATATTTGAATGCATGGATGGAAGTGTGCTTCATTTATATTAAATACTCCAAAAATTTACATCTCGTTTAATATTGTATATAAAGTGACAGATTTTCCGGTGCGCTTATTTATTATTGCAATGTGTGAAGTAGGTTTTCCACTAAGACTTGCAGCATAACTGAAAAAGCCTCTCAAGAGAATTCAAGATGCAACTGGTTATTTTATGTTTCAGTTTTTTTTTTCGCCTGTATCTTCGATTTCACGTGTCTTAATATGTAGAGATAAGTAGCTATTGTATATTTCATCATTTTGAAGGTGTGGCCGAAACTCTTACGGAATAGATTGAAACTTTCGCCAGAAGATTCCAAGTTGATCAAGGAAATAATAGCTAAGATTTTCAGGTGAGACTTAAAACTCTTTAGTTTATTATACATATTGTCAAGTTAATTAAGCATTAAACCGCACTGTCCATTGGTTTACCGGAGTAATAACTAGGCGGGACGTTGGGAGAACACGAGTTTGTAAATCACGAGCCAGAGGCGAGTGATTTGCAAAGTCTTTGAACTGATGATAGGTTTTGACCAATCAGGGCGTACGCATTATCTTAGTTATCACAAGACTCAGAAAACTAAGGGCATCTGGTCATCTCTTCAACAGGGTATATTTTATCCACAAAAAACCTGGTTAAGAAATAAAAATTGGCTTACACTTGCTGTACAATAAGTTCTGCAATATGACATTGAAACTAGCTTAATGTTTCCCATCATACAGCTCATCGGATCATCCTCTTACCCAGTTTCTCCTCCAGTATCAGTATTACGTTTACCGGAAACTGGCACCTCTTGTGAAGGATGTGGGATTTCCTGATGTAAAAAGCGGAAGAATAGCTACCAGCGAAGGAACTGGTGCAGTTATAAAGGAATCTCACTCTGACGAGCACGTGAAGAAATCGACAATCATCGATGATGAACAAAACCGAGGGAAAAACCTTAACACGATTACTAATGCTGGAGGTAATTTTGAAGGTCACTTTTCATCTGAGACTAATATTGAGGAAAGTTTGAAAGGTGCGAAAGAAATTGTGAAAGGCACCGCTGAGGAAAAGGAACATGAAACAGTCGAAATTCATGATGCAGCGTTCGTAAAGAATACTAGAGATGGTGGTAGTGTAGAAAAAGGAAAGGACGGTGATAGCGAATGCGCGAGCTCTGGAACTGATTTAGCGAAACTCAAAAATCTTCTTGGAGATGATCTTCAGTCGGAAGTCTCTGACACTGATACTTCGCAGCCTACTGCTGTTGCGACATCAGGTGATGCGGCATCACTGGAGACTTATTTTGAGGAGCTAGAGGACGATATGTTTGGCTGGGATAGCAGCGAAGATGAAAGTACAGACACGGACTTTGAAACTGTTGATGGAAGGAACACACAGACAACGGCAGATGAAAAGACTTGCAGTGAACTTAAAGAAGATACGCGTCAAAATAGGGAAGACGATGCATCCCATACTGTCGCGAGATCTGTTACGGAACACAGTCAGGCAGACTCTTCAGAAGTCTGCGCAGATACTCCTTCACAACTCAGCGTGGACTCGCTCAGCGTTGAGTTGTCAATAGCAAGTAAAATCGGTAAAACCAGCCAAGACCAACCAAGAGACGATACAAATCCGTTTGAAGCAGATGAGTTTATTTCAAACCAAAAAGTTGAGGGTAATGAAGAAGAGACAGCAAGAAACAACACCAACGGGGAAAGTCAACAACCGCACAATAGTCTGAAGCCGCTAGGACAGGTTGGTGAGGAACAGATTGCTAGTAATAACACCCAAGGGGACGGAGATATTAAACAATCAGTGGAAAGTTTAAACGAAGGAGAACAGGTTGGTGAAGAACAGATAGCTATTATTGACATCTACAATGATGGAGAAATCCCGAGACCAGTAGAGAAGTCAAATAAGTATGATACTATAAGTGAAGTCCCATTTGATCAGGCAAACGGTGGAGATGAAGAGAACACACAAACACCTCGACTGTCTGGGTTTGTTAGTGAACGAAGTGGCAAGGAGGAAAATGGTCGCACAACTCCTACTACAACTGCATCTGACGAAAGGAGGAAACAATTGAAGGACGTTTTGGTGGATGTGAGATTTTTTCTTGGTATGTTTGTGCAGCAAACACTCATCTAATCATAACCAAAAGCCATGTATGATTTAGACCTTACTCAAATACATGTGGTTGGTTATAAAAATGCGTAATCATCATGCAATTGTTCGTCCCCTAGCTATACCACAAGCGAGAAGCCAGAAAACTGTTCATATACAGTGCTCTTGACCATACAATTTAAAAGAAACTGTCTTTTTCGTTTACTCTTATCGATGTATTGCATCGTTTACATGTCTATTGTAAGGTCCCTTTGTAATTCAAGGTGTAAAAGGTAAAGGTAAATTATTAATATTAATCGTAAAAAGATCCAACTCTTGTCATGTTATGTTATCTTCCAGAAAATCTTCAGAAATTATTAATCCTTGCCTATGAACAACTGGATACACCAGCCGGCCGAGATCTTTGTTACTCCTATTTGGAATTCCCTTTCTTTAAACCTTTGTGGCCTATGTTGTTGGCTGTGCTCAGGTAAGAAGAACTATGCATCGTGGACGTTACCACCGCGCTTAGTCTGGTGTTCTGTCCACAATGGAAATCAAAAGCAAAAAAACGAATTTACGTGAAGTTTACTATTTGTTTTGTGGAATGTCTCAAAGCAAAGCTTGCTCTCCGGTTCTTTGCTGTTCTATTTATCATGTGTTCTCCGCCTCCTTTTTTTTTTTAATTCTTCCATACTTTTTTCATCCAACAGACAAGTTAATCACGAGAAGGAACTCACACTGGCGGACGTGATGTCGGAGAACATCACGAAGGATCCGGTAGATTTAGGCGTGCCACATAGACTGTGTTTGGAGGATCAGGTACTGTATATCTGTGAATGGATTTCGTAACTTTCTACCTAAACTATATTTTAAGAAGATGATGAGAGGGGCTAACCAGATTTTAATAGTATGTGACTAATTACTGGAGTAGACATGTCAGTAAACAAAGTTGTCAACTTGGTCATCAGTAAAGTGAGGAATATAAAACGACAACATGCAGTGCTTTGCGTGAGAGTGGGAAGGGATGGCGCAGTGACCGAGTGAGCTCTCTTCCCACCGCTGTGGCCAGGGTTCGATTTCCGCACCTAACATGTAATTTAAGTATGTTGTTGGCCTGAGGATTTTTATCCGGGTATTCCTTGCTCGCTTTCCACCAAAACTTACACTTCAAATTCAAAAATAGACCTGGAAAACAGTGACAAAGAGCTAACACTTGGATGGCCACAGCTAAATTCCTATATATTATTTGTTTATTCATTTGAAGAAGACTTTCTAGCACTTTAAGCTAGTGTTATGAAAACACAAGACATAGTTTGTTTTGGGTAGAAGTATTGTTATGATATTTAAACTTGTACGTCTTTTAGGCGGTTTTGGGCGCAACAGGAAACAAGTATCCATATCAGATGGCGGTAGATGAACTTCATAAAGTTGCTTCGCTGTATTGTCCGTTGGAAAAACTAGAGTGCTTAGGTATTCAAAAGACGCATATTTTTTGTTTCTTTGTTTCTTTTTTTAGCTGGTAGTATTTGAATTGCTTTTTCTGATTTTAATGGATTGTTTTTTATTCTCTCTTGAATTTTTCGGTAGAGATAATGGAACTCTTATTTATCTGTCCACAGTTCGAACGTCGCGCTGCGTCTGTCAGTGTGTTGAGGATTACTGGGAGACGAAAGGAAAGTCGCGTCACTGCCCAGAGACAGCCATGTATGTAATCTCTGTCTCCCTTGCTTCAATCTCAGTTTACTTAGACGCATGACTGAAGAAAATATTATTTCCTATAAAGCGCTTCTCTTCTCCGCCTAGCGCTCAACACTTCAGAAATAGAAAAAAGTTATTTCAGTTAGATTTGCGGGCGATACTAGGACGAAACCCATTGGCCTGTCGGGTTATTCTTTGCGAAAAAAAAATTCTTACGGTAAGTTTAGCTGAGTGAACTTACGTCTTAGTTCCCTCTGCGAAAAAAACAATTCCTTGCAGGAAGTCTTGCTAAGCCAACATATTAAATCCAAATGACTTATGACGTATGGAAATTCTATTTTATCCACAGTGGATGTGATGATTTGTTGCCCATTCTTAGTTTTGTCATTATTCGAAGCGGAATGGCGCAGCTGATCTCTGAGTGTGATGCTATGGAGGAATTTATACCCGAGGGGTGAGTACGAGGGACCTTCAACTACCTCAGGGTTAATGAATTAACGGGGGAAGTTTCTGAAGAAACTGTGGTGCTGTGTCAGTGGGAGAGTATGACAGGGTAATTTGGTGTTATCAACTGAGTTGAAAACGTAAATTGTCCACCGTAAAGTGTTTAAAGGCTGACGTTTCGCGCGTTAGCCCTTCGTCAGAGCGACTGGAGGAATTGTGGGTTGTGTGTGGATTTATATGCATAAACTATTGGTGGGAATATGGTGACGAAAAACAAGAATACATTAGTTGAATGAAAAGCGCTCGTTGATACCGTGGGGATTGATTACCTCAGGGCTAGCCGATAGACTATAAGCAGTCCCCCGTTTTCGGCAAAGTCCGTCGCGCAAGTAAAAAAAAAAAATCAGTATAAAAGAAATTGCCATCCTTGCGCGCCGTGTGGAACCCTAAGCAAACTCTCTGACAAAGTCTGTAGTTGCTACTTTCCTTACGCCTCGCTCCTAGAGCTCCTCTTGGCGCGCGAACATCAATTTTTTCACTTTTTTTTTTTTAACTCACGCAAGGGACTTTGCCGAAGAGTTTACCGGGAGAGTTCCGCCCTAGGAACAAGGTACTAAGTAACATCTACATCCAAGGGGTAAAAGCGATGAAAATTTGAATTTGAACCTTTTATGTTTAACCATTTTACCGATGTGGTTCTTGTTCAGGTATCTGATGGGGGAAGAAGGGTACTGCCTCACGACTCTTTTAACAGCCCTTGCGTATCTGGCCACCCTGAAGCCAACTTGAAATGACCGGCCTAATCACCAAGCAAGGAGAATATTAGAGAGCGGGATATATAACATCATAAGGTTCAAGATAAAGGTTGGAGCTACAAGCCATGACGGGCCAAAAATCAGTTAAAATTTGACAGCGAGCCACCACACCGATCTTTTACTTCAAGTTAATGTGCTCCATTTATTTTCGCTTTGATCGAAACTCACTGAGTTTTTGGCAACAATTACCCTTGACTTAGAACTGAGATGACCAGGCAAAATTGTCGAAGAACTGATGTTAGACTTAATATATGACTGTTACAAAAATAAGAATAAGGGGCATTTTTCCACAATCTGTTAAAATGATTAAAAATGACGTTTCAAAGTTAAAATGTAAGGAACGTGAAATTTACTTTTCCCAATGAAGATGCAAATAGTTTTGTATGTAATTGAGAAAGTGGAAACAGCAAGGAATTAAACGTCAACCACAAGTTTTTTTTTGTATTCTGTGGCCCACAAATAGAAACAACCTCCAATCATGCAAATCTTGTTCGTTTGGCTAGGAAACACCATTGTTCTCTTCACTGATGACGTTGGGAAAACGTTCGCGTCATTTCAAAGGATTTAACTAAGAACTAATTTGTTAATCCTTTTAACTGCCATAAGTTATCAACATTCCAATATGTTACCTTGCAAGTAGATCATGGGAGCCTATCAGTTAGAGAGCGTAATCTTGATACAACTCCAAATTCTCTTTGCTACTTTGTAAGGAATTGTTTGGCAGTTAGTAGGGAGAGTTATTGATTGGATCGTGAGAGTTTAAGGGTTTAGTAAAGTTTAGTAAAGTTTGCTGGGCACCGCGACCCCATCGCCTGCTCGTCGTGTCGATCACTATTTGGTTGACAGGATGAAATAAGGTAGTGTTTTCTCTCTAACAAAAAAAAACCACAATATCGAAATTAATTCGTGATATCCTGTTAATTAAATAAGATTTTGAATTAGCGAGGAACAATTTGCATAATTGAATTATACAAGTGCAAAACTTGACTTGTGAGGTCTTCAAGAACAAACCACACCTGCTGACGTAAAGGAGACAAAACATAAACATAGCTTTAGACATCAAAGCCATCGAAGTAGTTTTACCCTGTTCAGTTTTACTACGGAGATTGCATCCCCAACAGCTAAATTCTAGATACTGCATGAAAAACCAGGGTTTTTGAATTGAAATAGAATCCAACATCGTTTTAGAAATAACTTTTCTCGTTACGGCATACTATACTTTTGTACCATTTGTTAACAACTTATCCATCTAGTCAATTAAGTCAAAAAAGGGCTTTTTCCTATAAAAACAAGGCGGTCGCACAATGGCAATAAAAATATATTTTAAATCGCCTAAAGTAATTGAGGGAATTTTAATCCAAATTACATACAGACGTAAGAGAAAAAAACTGCTCACAAGCTTACGTGTAATTGAAGGCGAGATCAGAAAATTACAAAATTCTTAAAAAAAAGAATGCTTACGGTGGCATTTCATTGTTGCCACATCCATTAAGAAGCTTCTGTCTATTATTTTCTTTGTTCGATGACTTTAAGTTGGATTGTCCCCTGAATAAAAACCTTCGTGAGTACCCAAAAGCAAAGCTCGTTTTTAAGTTTTAATCAATCATTTTTCTGCTTAACAGCTACAATTCAACATTAACTCTCTGAGATGTTCTTCCCATACCAGCAGAAACAAAATGTATTTCATTATCTGGTTTTAGATAACAAGAAGGCCGTTTACAGCTTCACCGAGCGAGTCGTATGGACGTTAAAGCTAATCTGACGGATCGAAAAAAAAATACGAGATGTATGTGTGACCAGAATGGATAGAAGCAAAATCCTATGTTTTTTTTTTTTTGGTTGTTGTTGTTGAAAATCTGATATCGCCAATTGCTAGTTACAAGAAATCTATATTTTGAAAAGAAATTAAGTTGGGGAATATAAAACTATGGAAGCACTGAATAAAATTGGTAAATAAGCTTGAAAGAATGTATAGAGGGAAAAAATTAATTGGAATGATACTGAGCAAATTAAATGATATATTTAGCTGGGAGGCTGCCGGAAATATTTCCATGATTATAAACATAGCTATAAAAAGTAATTATAATTCTTTGCGGCGGTAAGATAAGATTCTTATGCGCTCATTGATCCCTAGTGTACCACACTCGCCACCTTCTGCTTTAATTTGATTAGTGAAACTTATTTGCCAATGTTAAAAAATAAGTGCTCTCTTCAGACAGAGTCTGACAAGTAGTCGTTTTAAGCGTTCTTTTCTCGCCAGGTGACGGCTTTAGTCCGTCTGTACGATTCAGTAAGATGTTATCATGATTGCTGCTTGGCTATCAGGGAGAAAAGAATACCATTTTGTACAATTGAGTCGCTACAGTACGAATTCAGATCTTGATCAGAAGAATAGGCTGTGATGTAAAACTAGAAATTGCCATGAAGATGAAGACGAAAGTAGTCGATGCAAATTAGATGACGATTAATGGGAAAATGATAATTGGATCGAGATAAAAGTGCATCGTCATTAGGGATTTTTCTTTGCGGTGAACTTTGATCAATTTGCGGTTTGTTTTATCGCAAGATCGCGTGATTTATAAAAGGGCTTTCATCAGCCAGTCCGTTTTGAATTGCACCCAAGGCACTTGGAAATTCCGCTTGCACAGTCCAACGGTGTACACAAGCAATGCAAATTTAAGTGATAGCCACGCTTGTTGTTCTTCTCATTCACAACTTGTTTCATTTTCCACAGATGTAAACAAGAAGCAACTTTCAATGAATATCAAAGTTCTAACTTTCAATTCGTTTTAAGAGAGACTGATTTTACGGTGAAATCTCCAGCAGGGCCGGAAACCCACACATTTACAATAAGAGGTTTAGGAATAATTTACTAATGAAAAACACTTTTCGCCGCATTCCACTTTAAGTACAGGCTTGTAGCTCTCTAAGACGTCGATATTCCACAATCCATACAAGTTTTGTCGTAAAAAGGGAAGAGAAGTGTTTTTTTCTTTTTTCTCAAACAGAGTCAGGGTCTCAAGGCCTTGGCGGCACAATCCCCAGACTTCCGAGAAGTCATTGTTCCCCAGGTTGTCTTTCTTCTCTTCCACGAATATTAGAATAAGCGAAGCAAAAACGAGTACTTTTGATATTCTTCCAAACTATTTATCTGAATGCTGTGCCAAGTATTTGTACCGTAGGAAAACCACCTTTCACAGAACGCTTTTTCTTGATAAAAACGAAAAAACAAAAAAAAACAAATTAAGAACAGGAAAAGCAACCTTGACCTTGCTTTCCTGTAACTTTATTCACGGCTGACCCAAGTGAAGTTCACGATGAAAGATGTGTATCACAGTGGAACGCCTTTCTATACAAGTAATTTCACACCGAACTTTGACGAACGTCCACAGTTCAGAATGGTTTTGCTAAAGCGGAACGTGGAAAAATTGAAGAGGATCTGAGATGTTTCTTTTGACAAATGGAGGAAAAAAAAAGGATAATTTACTCAAAGATTGATAACTGGCCGAGAGAAATTGCTTTTACTGTGACTGTCCGTAAATGCTTTGTGGAAGTATACGTCAACAATGAATAGTCCGTTGAATCAGCATTTGTCCCTTTCAGGACTACGCCAAGTCGCTCATATTGTTGTTAAATCCAGCTGATCTTGTTTTCTCTTCTTTGATTTCTCGGCCGGCAGAAAATATGGACTCATAGCTTTTTCCGATCACAGCATGAGTAAACAAGCTCAAGTATCTTTATCCTCCTTCAAACAATGAAGACAACAAAAGTGCAGTTTTTTAAGGATTTAATTCAAACTCTTCAAGAATAAACATACGTGCGCAGTAAAACTTTTCAGTCTTAAGGAAAAGACCTGTCAAAGCCGAAAACTACATTGAGGGCGTGCGGGAATCCATAAAATGAGTAATAACTTTGTTTGATTAGGTTTTGGTTGTTGGAAGGGTAATTTTATGCTGTAGTTCTGATAAGCCTCTTTTCTTCTATGGTTAAAACGTATAAAAAAAAACGACTAAGATAGGAAAATGAAAATGATTGATCACCAAGCTTGACAATGTATTGGATAAACTTAATTCCACCAATCACAGAAAGGGTTGCATCCGCGTCAAAACAATGCCAAAAAAAACCCGTCAAACGGGTTCTCATTGTCGTAATACAAACCTCCAGCCCATCCTCCAGTGCCTCCCACAATGAGAACATACATGCGACAACGACACGTAACATACTTTCCCTTAGCCATTTGAGCTTGGAAATAGAAGAGCGGTTCATTAACTGACCAAAAATACTTAAGGCGTTTCTGCTTTATTCAAGGTAAGCGAAATATGTTGTTTTGGGAAATAAAACCTGATTTTCTCCTCAAGATCGCAGTAAGAGTTGGCGAAATAACAGAGAATCTTTAGGGAAACAGGAAATTTGGCTTGGAAGAAATGGTTTGTTTTAGATTGGCAATTTCTCGTTTTAGTCAAGTATTATTTGGTAGCTTGTAAGATGGCGCGCGTCTCTTAGTTTAGGGCGTTTCTGCTTTGTTCAAGGTTGGCGAAATATGTTCTTTTGGGAAATAAAGCCTGGTTTTTTCCTCAAGATCGCAGCTGGAGTTAGCGAGATAACAGAGAATCTTTAAGGAAACAGAAAAATTGGCTTGGAATAAGAAGGATGTTTCAGATTGGTGATTTCTCGTTTTGGCGAAGTATTATTTAGTAACTTGTGAGATAGCGCGCGTCTCCTAGTTTCCAGTTGGATAAAGAAGTTAGGATTCTTTCAGATGATTTGTGATTAAATAAATTTGGTCTGAACAATGCTGCGATCAATCAACTCTCACGTCACAGTTGTGATGGAAACCGCATTCCTTCTGGGAGACCCACGGCTTTACTCACCCCTCATGTCAGTAAACCTTATTTATATCTAATCTAGAAATCTCTGCAACAGAGACTTTTCATATTCCAAAGATTTCTCATTTGCCCGCTATGACCCTGTCTTACAATGAATCTGTTGTACTTCAAGACTCCACGGACTGAAGTCAGCCCTTCGATTAACAATGTTCTTTTTTGTCGAGTCACTTAGAACCGGAAACTAATTTTTGCAGCAAAGTGTTGCAATAGATAATTCATGTAGATTTGATTTGCCTGTCATTAAAAAAAGATTAAGAATATCTCAAATTAATGATACCTTAGTAATATCTTTTATTCTCTCCTCGACGTTTTTTATCATCGTATGTCTACATTCCATTGGAGTGCTGACAACTCCGACGTCCACAGAAAAGGAAACAATCTTTAAAATATCGTGAGCATAAAATATATATGATCGTTAGGTAAACAGTACTACTTTTTTGCGGTGATCAGAATCCTCTTAAAACAGTGAATACCGGAAATTAAAACGGAAAAATGATCAGAGATAATGATCAGAGATAAGGCTCAGCACATCAA